ACTCTGGCTATCAGCATCAAGGCACAGACACTTAACTCCACGTAAGTAGATCTCTAAATATATAATTAAAGGCTTTATTTGTTAAATTACCAATGATTAACACATCCTGCAGCACTGAATGTTTCTGTAAATTAAAATGTAGCTTTAATGCGCAAATCAAACCTATTTTTCCTTTAATCAGATCATGAATCTTATCTTCTGAGTTGTGTAACTTTAGCACTTCTAACTGCGCTTCTACAGACAGGTTTGATAAGCCAGCAACCCAACCGGTTTTATACTGATGTTAGGATGTACTAGCACTAGGTTAAGCTAAGACAATTAAAGAGAAACAAGAATAAAAATAAACATCTTTTAAGCCAAAACTGAACCATGTCACAGGTAAATACTTTTTTCTGTTTGAAGATGGGGAACTTTTGGGAAACTAACTTTTTTCTTGTTTTTGTTTTTTTTCTTAAAGGATCTCTGAGCTGCTGTTCAGCGCGCCGCACACAGTAACTCAAAATCAAACAGGCCCAGGACAGTTCACACTGAGGTGGACACCATCTGATTCAGTAGCTGAACAAAGCCACCCCATTTGTTTTGTTGTCCAGGCAGTTTTAGGGTCAGTATCCTGTTTCATAAATATGATCCTATACAAAAACTATTGAAATTTTCATTAAAAAAAGTGAAATGGAACAACTGTAATTTGCTGAATATGTTGCCCTTTTCAATTCAATTCAATTCAATTTTATTTATATAGCGCCAAATCACAACAAAAGTCGCCTCAAGGCGCTTCATAGATAGATTTTTTTGTTCACTTATGATGTGTGTCCAAACTGCATTCCTGTAAACCTTTTCACACCCTGACATTATAATTGTAGCATCAAAACAGTCAAAAAGCAGATATAGCGAGAAACTGAAATTCACTGAAGACAGAACACATAGGTTTTTCAAATACCTTTGAGGAATAACTCCATAACAGCAGACACATACCTGCGTAGGTGTGAAAAGGTTGGTTTTGAAAGTAGAGCAGAAACAGATAAATAATGCAAAATGCAATGTTTTGTTGTTGTT